TGATTGGTGCAATATCTGTGTGGGCGGACACTGAAAATAGCTCGTAATATCACTTTGCTTTCCAACAGACACACTGGCAGTTCAGCCGGTGCTCAAAGATGTGAGCAGTCCCTGCAGAGGTTACAGGACGACTCGTTGCTTTGAGTTTTGACAGTCTGGTCCACTGACCCGTGAAAGACAGACAGCTAATGCTTGCTAGACCCCCACCCCCCAACACTGATTTGGCAGGTGTTGAAATAGCATGTGCAAAACGAACTTCTAGTGGGATTCAGTCCCAACAACAGCCGTCTACGCTAACTAGCTTCAACTTCCCAAGTGAAAGCTTGTTTGCTTAGCTTGCTAGCTTCCACTTTTTGAGTAGAATGCAAACTTAACAGCACGATGTGTCCTCCCAAATGTTGAATGTTGTTGTTTGCAAGCTACCCAGAGCTAGGACGCAGCAGCAAACATGGACGTTTACGCTGTCTTTTTATCCTTGTTTTGTAAAATGGAAGAATTCAAATTGCAGTTCGACTTTGTGTCACTGTGAGTAAGTCAGCATGATTCACAGATTGTGAATAACTGTGTTTTTATCTGACAAAGTAGTTGGAAGAACTGTAAAAGCATGCAGAGGCTACTTTTTTGACGTGCAGGTCAGAACAAATTTACAGGCATGAAGCCAGCTTTAGAGCTCTCCAGAATGACTTTATCCCCAAAAATAGACCCTAATTTGACCTGTCACTTTACAAATCAATATTGGTAAAATCTCAGCCTTAAAAGGACTATAAATGTCCATAATCCTTAGCCTAACAACGGCCTCCTGCCCCCACAAAGCCTGGCCTGACAACAGAATCCAACATCATATTCACCCCAAGCAGTTTCTCTAATGCCTCGCTAATACTTTAAAGAGTTTGACCGATCAGCATCTTTATTTTAATCCCTCTCTTTTTCCTGCTTTTCTTTTTATTCAAGCTTGACATCCCTGCTTTCACCGTTCCCTTTTTTTAGCCTCCGCTCCCTCTTTTCCTCCGCTTCTGTAACCATGTTGTGGTGCTGGTGAGGGACAGGAAAGTTAGGGACGGAGCAAGAGGAGAAGACAAACAAGAAAGGTGTACCGTAAAGAGGAAAAGGGATTAGATGAAGGGGGAGATGAAAGCTGTGGAAGATGTGAAAGCCAGACAGGCAGACAGAGAGATAGATAATGGAGCTACAGGAATGAGACAAAGAAAGAAACAATAAAAAAAAGTAAAAAGTCACTGTATAAAAAGATATGGAACAACCATTAATGATCTGACAGTACACTGCCTCTACTGTCTATAACTTTAAAAATGGACAATCCAGCATACTTTTATTTTAATGATTTAAACGTATCTAAAAGTCGTGAAAACGACCAGTACAGTGATAAATTGAACAAGACAAAGGTATAAATAGGACACGAGGAAAGACAGAGAGGCTGAGACAAGAGGTCTAAACTCTATCTCACATTGCCCTTAAGGGACTTTGTGTGTGTGACATCACTCCTTCCGAAGTAAACACACACACACACAGTCTCCGTCGCCACGGTGCCCACTCGCCACGGCAACCGGCTTGGGTGGAAGGGGGCAACCGCAAAACACACACACATGCACACACGAACTTACGCACACACTCGTTGAATAATAGGAAATGATTGCAGGTCATATAAGAGAAGACGAGAGCTGATGTAGAAGTATACGCACACACACACACACACACACACACACTCACACATACACGCATATACACACTTGTGACACACATTCCCCTTGGAAAACTTGTCTTTCCGATCTTTAGCAGTGTGTAATCCTGAGGGATAAGTGCTAAGATCCCCTTTGTCTCCTTGACAGCCTCAGGGAACGTGTGTGTGTGTGTTTTTTTTGCGTGTGTCTTTTAACCATGTCTCCCCTGTCCTTACAGCTGGCCTACTGTGTGGTGCAGTTTATGGAGAAAGATGCTACAGTGACTGAATATGTAAGTTTGTTATTTCATTACAATACTGCCAATCAAAGTAGGATAATTTAATTCTCAGTTTTGTGGTTTTGGCCATGATTTCTATTTATCAAATAATGGGAGTGCGGTGGAAATACTACAGTGAAGTAAGATGTGGCAATTATAAAGGTTTAAAGCTGCACTAATCAATATAATTAATAAGTCCAATTCATATAATAAGTTAGCAGAACATAGCATTTAGAAGCTAAAGAGGAAGATATTCCAATCAGGAGTTGGTCAAGACCAAAAACTGAGCTAAAAAGTGAGAAAATGGTGGCCAGAAACAAAACTACAAATGAATGCTAATGTTGCTCTGTCTGCTTGAAAGCAAGTAAACCACTGTTTGCTTTATCAACATTACAAGGTGATAATATGTCAATGTCGTGATTGCAGCGGGTTCTGTGGCCAAAAAGTCCATTATCACTGCTTTTAACAGGTTAGCCAGAGTTATTTGGAAGTAAATAACTTGGAAAACAAAGATTGAACGGGAATATTTTTACCCAAACTATCGTTTAAACATCTATCACAGTTTTGAGATTCAACTTTGACCTACTGTACGTAAGGGGTTATTTTCAATATGTTGGTTTTTAGCATTTACTTTAGTGAGTGTGAATGTCATTATAACTGATGGACATTATTGACAAAACTAAAAAATAAGAAGTAGTAGTAGAAGTAGTAATAAACCTTTTTTTTTGTTTGTCACATGGCCATCAGACATAATAAATGTTAGTCCTGTAAATCCTTCAACAATGTAAACTCTGAATTTGAATATTTGCTATACCCTACTTCTTCATTCATCAATATCAGTGCAGTAAAAAAGGAGAGTCAGTACAAACGACATATTTCTTAATGCACTAGCCAGAGTATGAATATGAGTTAATGGAGATGGTACAGATGGATGCCAGCCAGCAACCCTGTTGAGCTAATGGCTGCAGTGTTTATTTATATTATGTGCTTCACATTTTCTCTGCAGATCATCAGAGGGCTGCTCAAGTACTGGCCAAAAACCTGCACGCAGAAAGAGGTGAGAGAGCTGTTAATAAAAAAGACGCTGATATTTCTCAGCTGCTCTCATTAGTCACTGCTGAAACATTTCGATTTCCTAAATATCTGTTGTTCTCGTAGGACTTCTGCATTAATTGTATCTCTGTTTTTTATTCCTATTCAAGCGCCTTCACATTTTTTATTCACTGGGAGTCATGTGAATGTCTTTTCCGTCCTTTCTGTATCAATTATAAGAATGTGTGTCTGTGTGTTCAGGTGATGTTCCTCGGGGAGATTGAGGAGATCCTGGATGTGATCGAGCCGTCTCAGTTCATCCGGGTCCAGGAGCCGCTCTTCAAACAGATCGCAGCCTGTATCTCCAGCCCTCACTTCCAGGTAAACACCACAACTCCCTACATTCAATCTATACTATAAAAAAAACAGTCCACTGAAGGAGACTGTACTGACAAAAGTTACTTGGAAAACTGTGGGCGCAGACATCAGTCCTATAAAACTCTTCTGTCTGTGTGTTTGTTTCAGGTAGCGGAGCGGGCTCTTTACTTCTGGAACAACGAATACATCCTCAGTCTGATAGAGGAGAACTGTCAAGTCATCCTGCCGCTGGTATTCGCCACCCTCTACAGAGTCTCTAAGGAGCACTGGAACCAGTCAGTGGCTCACACATGAACACAGACACACACATGAATACAACTCAGAACTCATAGCTCTTGAGTTTAGATCAGATTGTCAATTTTGATGTAACCTCAAGCTCTATTACTGTTTGGATGGTACATAAATACATATTAGAGCCTCCCAGTTGGTCTTTAGTCAAGTATATGTGGAGCTTCATTTAGGACAAATCAACTAGACTGTCACTAGTCTAAGTTGGCCTGCAAACACTGCCAGCCTACAGTCAAAGTGTCCAAAGCAGAGCTGAAGTTAAAGTGGAGAACTAGTAATAACTTTGTGGGGCAACAAACACTCTTTGCTAATGTCTCCCCAGTGGACCATACATTCTTGTGCCTCATGCTAATACTGGTGGGAGAGATATTCAGATCCTTTATTAAAGTAAAAAATACAAAATAAAAAAGATGTATTTAATTACTTTTCATCACTGCTAAAACTTAATTTGAGAAAGATTACTTTCCATGTAGCTTCACAGCAGCCACAAACTGTAATTCCCCAACACTGAGATCAATGTACAAGCCCTCTATCAGCCGACAGTGTATACTAAAAAATTTGCAGGAGAGCTAATAACCTACCAGGGACTCATGAATGGCCCACTTGTTAATACTTAGGCAACACATATGGTTGCCAGAGTGTTAATCTCCCCAAAATACAGGCTTTTACTTTAACCTCTATCTCCTGACCCATAATCCCATGGGACCAGATTCATTATCTTCTCCTTCTGCCCCTCCAGGACCATCGTGTCTCTGATCTACAACGTGCTGAAGACCTTCATGGAGATGAACAGCAAGTTGTTTGATGACCTCACTGCCTCCTACAAAGTGGAGAAACAGAAGTGAGTGTGACTCACTCTCTTTGTGTGTGTGTGTGTATTTGTGTCACTGGATACAACAATGACAACAAGAGGGAGAAACAGAAAACTCGTCATGTTTTAGACGATATTCGTTCCATTATCTGTCACATTATATTTCACATTGTAAGTATGTATCGCTTAGGTCATCTTTTGAACATGGATCACATCATGATTCCACTCATTCATTGCCCTGTTTCAAACTCAAGATAGTGGATACTATTGGGGAAGAAACTTTGAAGGAGTAGTTCAACATTGTAGCTTTCTGTCTGAGAGTGAGATGAGAAGATCAATATCAGCCTCATGTCTGTGGGTTGAGTATGGAGTTGGTGTCAGGGTAAATAGGCTTATCAAAGCCTCTAAAGCTGACTTATGTATATGGTCTGTCTTGTTTAATTAAGCTGTACATGAGCAGAAATGAAATGGAAGTTATGTGTTGGAACTGTTTCTTTATGAACAACACTGATCTGCTTAGCACTTCTGTGCAGAGTCTCTGACTATACTGCAGGTTTCCAGATACAGTTGGTGAGCACAGGTTTTGGTTCTGGTCTCTCTACAGCAGAGGTATGGTGCTGTGTACACTCAGGCACACAACATACATACACTCATCTCTGAGCAGGGGTATTTATGAAATGGGTTCAAGCAGGCGGGTCAACAAAGCAGCGTTCTGAGTAAGTCATTAATATCTTACAGAAACACAATGTGCAATAATCCACCTTCCACCTTCTCTTTA